TCCACTCACAGGATGAGTGACGCTGCCCAATACTGTCACTATGGCGGTGTCCACTCACAGGATGAGTGACGCTGCCCAATACTGTCACTATGGCGGTGTGTCCACTCACAGGATGAGTGGCGCTGCCCAATACTGTCACTATGGCGGTGTGTCCACTCACAGGATGAGTGGCGCTGCCCAATACTGTCACTATGGCGGTGTGTCCACTCACAGGATGAGTGGCGCTGCCCAATACTGTCACTATGGCGGTGTGTCCACTCACAGGATGAGTGACGCTGCCCAATACTGTCACTATGGTGGTGTGTCCACTCACAGGATGAGTGACGCTGCCCAATACTGTCACTATGGCGGTGTGTCCACTCACAGGATGAGTGACGCTGCCCAATACTGTCACTATGGCGGTGTGTCCACTCACAGGATGAGTGACGCAAGAAAACTTGCCCTTCTGGTCAAAATTAAATAAAAAATTTCCACCCGAGACGTTAAGGACACAGTCTCTGCGGCGCCAGGGGTGGTGAGGTGAGCACCAACAACCTGAGGGGTTGGCAACACGTGTGTTACGACCCTGGATTCTCCAGTGGAAACCAGAGGTCAAAATTGAGCTATTAAACTTTCTGGTAGTACAGTTGAGTGCATCACGAGCGGCAGTTGTTTGTATCTTCCCTGCCAGACGTAAGACTATTCTTGTTTCTCAAAGAGCATTTAAAGACTGAGCTTGGGGTTGATTATTAAATAATAACATAGGCACCAACTATGTTGACTAATACTTTCTAATCATTTGTAAAGTAACAATACGTTGCATAGGGGAAGATCTTTAATGTGCTTAGCTGCACGATCAATTAGGCTCCTTCCGGCACCACGTCATGCGGGAAGGCCTAGCTGGTCACTAGGAGCGTTCTTCTCTGGCTGGCGTTCGTGGGGACGAGACCTACTCTGTGGCTGCACCCCTACTCTCCTCCCTTCTCCTCTTACTTATTTCCCTTACCTTAAGTTCCTGTACCATTAAGTTAAGTACTGTATGGTGTTTAAGTGTGCCTACTCTGGTAGTAACGATTGGTGAGACCTGGGGGTAGTATTTGCCAGTGTTTGGGTACCCCTAAGTGTTGTGTTTTGTATTAGGGTACCACGTGGTGTCTCTACCCTAAGCTGCATCCAGCTTCAGTGCTTATTCAGTAGTACTTTACCCTAGCTTGTTCTTAGTGTAAACCTTGTATCCTGCCTAAGTGGACCAAGGCTTTTTAACGTAAGGTAGTGTGGTAAAGTTATTATTATTATTGTTATTGGTGTGAATGTATATGGGGGGTTGTTAAGGGGTTAATAAATAAGTACATGAATTATAGGAGTATCCCTTCTTCCTGTGTGGGAGCGCATTGATCAACCCTTAGACTGACATATATGGTCTAGTAGCAAGGTATTATTACTGTGGATAGTTTATTTTGGGGGCCGGGCCTTTTAGCTCTCCCATATTTGATACTCTGTCTTCTAACTACCCTTACCCCTTAATAGTACCAGTTCCCATAGCAAAGCCCACCACACAATTATTTATAACAACGTGGTAGCCTTAGTCGTCACTCTACACATCCAGAAAATATAAAATGCAGAAGATCCAGCCTGTACCGTCTTGCTACCGGTTGTCAGGTGAAGGAAGCCTTAAACGCTAAGTTAGTGGGTTTCAACAGTACCTTAAGACGCCTCCGCCAGCCCTGCGCTGCTCCGCCTGGCGGCCGGGGCCTCACCCACCACACAGTCTGGGGCAGCTGCACGAATGCTCACGTGCCTACAGGTGTTAGTAAGACGTACTCGCACGGGCGTCACCAGCTCATTGTACGTCCACATTGTGGCAGTTGATCGACGGTCGATTGAATAGAAATGATTTTTTGGTTGTAGAAAAACGAACAAACAAAAATGGGAAGAGCAGCAGCACCAGCACCAGCATCACCACCAGCAGCATCAGCACCAGCAGCACCACCACCAGCAGCATCACCACCAGCACTAGCATCACCACCAGCAGCACCACCAACAGCACCACCACCAGCAGCATCAGCACCAGCAGCACCACCACCAGCACTAGCATCACCACCAGCAGCACCACCAGCAGCACCACCAACAGCACCACCAGCACCACCAGCACTAGCATCACCACCAGCAGCATCACCACCAGCAGCACCACCACCAGCAGCACCACCACCAGCACCACCAGCACTAGCATCACCACCAGCAGCATCACCACCAGCAGCACCACCAACAGCAACAGCAGCACCACCACCAGCACAACCAGCACCACCACCACCAACAGCAGCACCACCACCACCAACAGCAGCACCACCACCAGCACCACCACCAGCACCACCACCACCAACAGCAGCACCACCACCAGCACCACCAGCACCACCACCACCACCAGCACCACCACCACCACCACCACCAGCACTAGCATCACCACCAGCAGCATCACCACCAGCAGCACCACCACCACCACCACCACCAGCACTAGCATCACCACCAGCAGCATCACCACCAGCAGCACCACCAACAGCAGCGATGGTGAAGGGTTCTCAACAGGCACCGGCCGTGGCCACAGTGCTTCTTGTAGTGGTGTTAGTACTGTCAGTGCTTGTTGCAGTCTGTTCTCAGCCTCTGGGCAGAGCAGAGTGTGGGGTCAGGCGCTCCGCTATAGCAGCCAGGCCGCACCCTCAGACATTGAATATGATCTCTTCTCAATAATGCTCACTCACTATGCCCCGCCATAGAGTCCCTCACAGTAACAAGCAAATTGAATCTTGCCGGCAGTGCCTTAATAGAGTGCAGAGCTTGTGTGTGAGGGTGGCAAAACTCTTGAATAAGATTAGTTAGAGTCTCTAGAGCCAGCATTCTTAGGCAGCTCTGAGCCTATAGGTAGAAAAAGTAGTGAGCACAATATATATAGTTACGGCCCTACTAGGACGTAACCGGGTTCTTCTCTGATGGTAGTAGAGTTTGGGAATCCGACCCCAAGTTAGTAGAGGCTTTCAAGGGGTGTGTTCCGTAACGCAAGTTAAATTAAAGGGGGAGGGGATACAACTATTTCAATTTTCTGATATATATTTCCACCACCATATATAAATAAATAACAGTCGCACGCGGGGATTATTACTACACAAAAATATATACAGTTGCGTCTTCCTCCGAAGACACTGGATGCTCAACGATGCTCACTCTGGGTAGCCCTGGTTCATTCTTCCGTGGCCCACGATGAATCCACGCTGACTACCCCGAATCTACCCTGGCCACAGGCCAGCCAAATCACAGTCCCACTGGATGCTTCGTCGTGGAGGCCTTCAACCACAATCCAGCCTGTAGCTGGCAGGTACCGATCAGCTCCGCTGTATAGGCCACTCCACGACCGATACTTAGGGTTGTAAGCCCTAGCCAGGAACCTCGTGTGACTCACTGGTCTCTCTCCTCATACAGCACTCCAGTGGGTGGTCTCCTCCACCAGCCAATCCCGGATAAGGCGTTTCCCAATACTGCCACTCCTCAGGCAGGCTATTACTCTCAACAGAGTTCGTCCAGGGGTGGCTCACAGCTTGTTCAAAGCAGACTGGTGAAGAGACCATGGCTGCCTTGGGTAGACTGATCCGCCGTCCAACACTGCAGTCCCAGGTCGACTCTAAAACCAGACACGTCATCAGTACTGGGGATACTACCTGGGGCCACCAGGAAACATCACTTACTAGCTTAGACACAAACGTCCACCTCTTCACTCCATAGATGGCGTTGCTGTCTAAGCGCCACCTCACCAGAGGTCAGCAACGGCTACATCACGAGCTGACTAGGACAGGAATCCAAAACTTATTGCTGGCCTATACTGTCACCACTAGATGGCGTCGTCCATTTGGAGTGGGTTTCGGGAGCGGACTCATAGATGGCGTTGTCGTCAATGCTCCGTGCTCTGACGCTGGACTTGGGTCCGTAACAATTTATATATATATACGAAGTTACTTCAATTAATGTCGCCTGAAGAAGCAGGTATGGAGGAGGTAGCTGCTGGACCCTCAGGGTTCTCCCCCATCATGACCAGTGACACTGTCACCCCACGACCTAGTGATGAGTTTGTGGAGATGGTAAGTAAGAGCCAGAGAAGGAAACAAGGGAAATAGAAGCCTGGTGAACAACAGGTTGGAAGGCGTCCGATAGCACCAAGGAGCGAGTACACATTTCTGACCTTCCCTAAAGGCACAAGTGTGGCGGACAGGATAGTGTGGAGAAACAAACTGAGCGTGGTGTACCTACCTGGCTCTGCAGGCGTGCTACGTCCACATGTCAACTCCCCATATGTGTAGGTTTCAAGAGAGAAGCAACATGTTGTGGAGGCTCTTCTACAAGGGAAAATAGGTGATGTAAAGCTCTCCCCTCTAGATAATCCAACATTGAACAAGAAGATGAATGAATACCTAGTCTACAGGTACAGTCACGGGTATCCACTAGCGTGAGCCTATGAATTAGACGGGGTACACAAAGCATGAAGATTAACCAAGAATGGTAAGCCTACTGCAAATAGTCAAAGTCTCGAAGAAGACTGAACCGCTACCTGACAAGTATTGGTTTGGTGGGTTGTATGTGCGCCCCAGCACGTTCAGGGTGTGGCAGCCAGACCCTGTGGAGTGTTATGAGTGCTGTGGCAGTGGCCACATAGCTAAGCACTGCTGGTGCCCAACACCCAAGTGTGCTCTCTGTTCCGGTCCTCACCCACTGAAGGACTGTCCGCATAAGAAGACCAGAGGCCAAAGAAAGCTGGAACAGGAGCAAAAGAACATGGTAACAGAAGCAGGGCAACAACATGAAACTGTGGCTCCGTCTAAATCGCCGCTGAAGTGTTTCAGATGTGGTACGGAAGGAGTCACCATCTGGCATTCAGACTGTACCAAACGGCCAGCCTCCCTTGGCACAAGGAGGCCAGTGCCCGAGACTCAACAAGTGCTTACTGATGACGGCTCTAGTACTGTTGACCCACCCCATAGCAGTGACAGTACCAGCAACGCCCCTGACAACAAACAACAGTCTGAGGCAACAGTTGAAGGACAGTTGGCAGCCTTGCAAGCACAGGTAGCAGAACTGGCCAAAATTATAGAGACGCTACGTCGGGCTCCTTCACAAGAGATGCAGCAGCCTCCACACTGCTGTGTCACAGCTGCGGCCCGCACTGGTAAAGGTACCTGCGGTGGTGGTGATGGCAGCGGCGGCGGCAGCAGCGGCAGAGATGAGAGCAACAACGGAGGCGGTGGCGGCCACGTCGTCAGTCAACTCAGGGATGACAGCAGTGTTAGTGACACAGAAACATTAACTGGAAAAGGAAGTCAATCCGCATCAGCATATATTAAAATGATTAATGACCTTAATGAACGTGTTCGAGCCAAGTACGAGAATGAAAATTATAATATTCTGCGTGACAGTACTTTTGCAATGCAACTTACAGAGAACATTCACTCAAGGACCATCCCAAGTTCTTCAGTGATCAAGAGACTGATGATGTCACCAGATGTTCCTGACGACACCAAACACCAGGCTGGTGTGGCTCTTTACGTTGTAGAGCCACTAATTAACACATTGTGGAAGTGGAACAAGGACAACAATGGGACCACCAGTCCCAGGGAGGAACAACACCAAGACGATGGCTGCTGTTGACACAAGGACCATTAGGTTTCTCAGTTGGAACATTCGTAGCATCAACAAAAGACTGAATGATCTAATTGCACATGTTACCATTAACAACATAGATATAATTGCCATACAGGAGCCCTACACGGCCAACATGATAAACAAAACCCCACCAAAGATTAGAGGGTATGCATTCTATACTAACAGTAATGCCACAAGCCTATTAACATACATCAGAGGTGATTTATCGCTCACTCTTGTGAGCACGTCACACAATGTACACACACAGTACCATCTCTTTCATGTACAAACTGCAGCAGGCCACTTCTCATTCCTCAATGTATATGTCAGAAGCCAGAAACTCAATGTAACATTGTTCCCAGATCTAGACAATCATGGGACAATATACATGGGAGATTTTAATATGGGAGTTTCACTGAGAGACATTACTAACAACGATAATGGATGCAAATTTATAAAATGAGTTTATGACAACAGATTAACCGTGTATACTACTGATACCCAAACTCATTTATTGGGAGGCAGACTTGAATATGTAATGGGTAGAAACCTTGTGCAAGATAGGATGGAATGTTTGTTGGTAAATCACTTGGTTAGTGATCACTATGCAGTTTCTGCTTCCTATGAGGTACAGTGTGATGTACCTAATAGACATCAGAGACAGAAAATGAATATTCCATATGGCTTGCACGACCACTTCATTAATTGTGGAGTTGCGCCCTAGCTGCCGTGGGGTGTAGACGTGTTGCCTGAGCCCTCCAGTAGTTGGTGGTTGTTTGGCGAGCGGCTGGGGGTGTGGGTGTCCCCACCCTCCCTGCAGTTGCTGCTTGGTTGGTGTTGACATAACATGCTTGCAATGGGAGGCCTTCTTCTCCCTGTTGTGAGAGTGAACTCCGTGGGCCTGGAGTTTACAGGCCGTGCTGGTTACCCTGCAGTTGACCTTGTCGTGTGTGACATGCTCCGTGTATGGTGGATGACGTCTATGGAGTTGAGCTGGTAACTGCTCACTGGGTTATTGTCAAATTAGTGGGGGAGGAGGTGTAGCGTGGGTTCCTCCGCCGTTACGAGGGGCGATCCTTGTCACTGCCGGATGGTGCCGGCTCTGTGACCATTACAGACCGTAGTGGTGCCGGCTCTGTGACCATTACAGACCGTAGTGGTGCCGACTCTGTGACTATTATGGACCGTAGTGGTGCCCTGACATATGTGAGTGTGCATGGGGTGCCCTTGGAGTTTCCCGAGGGCCTACTCCAGCGTTACTTCCAGCAGTTTGGCACTGTCGTTAGTGTGCAGGTGAACATGCTGTCCTTGGGGAGGTATAAGGGTATGCGTATGAACATTCGTACCCTTGGGATGCGCCTGAGGTCAGACATTCCTTCTTCAGTCCGGCTTCTGGGGTACTACGTCCGGGTATACTATGCCAGGCAACCCCATACTTGTTTTTGGTGTGGCCTGTTGGGGCATCAGGCTGCCGGGTGCTCTGGGGCTGTGGTCGCTCCTGTGAACCTGTTCCGGGAGGAGGATTTTCCACCGCTCCCTGTTGGGGTGGATTGCAGGGGCGTGGATGAGGACATCCTGTTGGCTGATGCGGCTCCCCCTGCATCGCCCGGCAATCCTCCGGATGATGTGGCCCCTCCTCTGGGTGTTACGGTGTCGTCGGCTGATCTTCCTGCTCCTATTGCTGTCCCAGCTGCTCTCGTGGGTCTTTCGGATGGTCTCTGCGAGTTGTCAATGTCTTCATCTTCCTCATCTCCTGCTGCTGCAACTGGCCCTGCGCCTTCGCCAGGTGTCATGGCTGTGCTGGGTACTGGGGGTGGCTGTGGAGCATCTTGATGTGTGCGGCCTGGTTTCCCCTATGGTTGAGGCTGCTGCCGTTCTGCGACACCTATCGGTTCACACGGCTTGTGAAGCTCGTAGTTCTGGGTCTGGCTCTGAGGATGTGCGGCCGGAGCCCAAGCGTTCCCAGCGTTCTTCTACTGCCTGGGCTGATGTTGAGGATTTCGACGCCGGTGGGTCTCGGGAGATGATGTGGTGGTTTCGGGTGCTTCGCGTTCTACGTCGATGGTGGTTGCTGACGTCCATGTGCCTGCTGATGACAATGTTTGTGCATATGATTTACCTTCTGTTCTTTCTTCTGCAGAAGGTTTTTCGCAGTAGGGGGTGGTCGCTCCTACGGGCGAGGGTGGTGAGGGTGCTGGTGCGAGCTGTGGGCTCGTGCTGGTGCTGAAGAAGGATGCCCGGCGTGGGGGGGTCCCTGCAGGTGCAACGTCCTTTGGCTGACACGAGGCCCTGTGAGGCAGCCGAGGAGGTTTCCAGTGCGCTGCCCATTGCCCAGCCCTTTTGGGAAGAAGCCCCTCCCTCTCATCTTGGCCTCTGGCGTGGCGTATGTTGATGAGAACCCCTTGCTGTTTGACATTGTTGACCGTGTGCATCCTGTTCCATGGAGCCCTTCTTCCGTCTGGGTTCCGCGGGCTCGGTGTTTTGTTGTGGGTGTGCCGGAGATGATGCCTGATCCTCGTACGGTTCATAGTAAACCTGTTCTGGATAACACCATGTTGCTTTGGGAGGCGTATTGTGTTCGATTCCCGGCAGTGGAGTGGCCGGATAAGTATCCGCAGTTTGAGTAGACTGTGTGATGGGGCCTGTGGTTTGTTGTGCTGTGTGTTGTACTTATTGTGCGCCCTTCAGGCCGGTGTTATGTTTCGTTCTCATGACCTTGTTTTATTGTATTTATTGTATTTCTTAGCATGCTTTGCATGTAAATATAATAATAATAAAAAAAACTTCATTACTTGTATTTCAAAATGGTATCAAGATTACACAATTGTTACGGCCCTCTCGGGACGCAACGGGGTTCTTACTCTGATGTTGTTAGAGGAAGTTATATCCGACCCCAAGCCAGTAGTGGCTTTCAAGGGATGTGATCCGTGACGCAAGAAACTTAAAGGGGGAAGGGAAAGAAAGTTAAGACCTTAAGATTATAATTGTTCCCATCACCAAATAAATAATATATAAAAGTGCACAGGGGGAGGGGTATTAACACTGTACAAGGGGAAAATACACAAAATGTCTTCTGCTGAAGACTCTGGAGCAAAACTCTCGATGCTGAGTCCTCGGTGCTTCTTCGTGGCCTCACAACGAATCCTCTGAGAAGTTGAGCCTACCCTGGCCACAGGTCAGCCAAAACACAGGTCCACTGGGGCACCGCCGTGGAGGCCGTCAACCACACGTCCAGCAAGTTCGCTGGCAGGTTCCGGATCAGCAAGGCTGGTCAGGCCACTCCACGGGCGATATTAGGGTAACGCCCTAGACAGGAGCCTCGGGTGATATCACAAATCACTCTCCTGTCCTCAATACCCCAGTGGATAAACGTCTCCAGCAGTCGGTCCCGGGTAATCCTTCTACTGCCACTCCACTGGCAGGGTAACACCACAGTGTTCTTCCGGGGGACGACTTCACAGCTGCTGCAGCAAAGCACAAGGTATGGAGACGGCTGCCTCGGGTAGACTGACTCAACTTCCATCACAGCAGTCCCAGGTCGACTCTGTAAGCAGACACGTCATCAATAACAGGGACACTAAAACACCTCACTTACAGGCTCAGACACAAACGCCCGACATATCCACTCCATAGATGGCGTTGTAGTCTGAGCACCACCTCACCAGAGGTCAGCGGCGGCGGTGTTGAGTGCTGAACGGGACTGGAAACTGGCCCTCGAGGCCAGTACACGCCGTCTTCACCAGGTGTCGTCGTCCGTTTGGCGGGGGTTTCGGGAGCTGACCCACAGATGGCGCGGTTGTCACTGCTCCGGGCTCGGACGCTGGATCCGGGTTCGTAACAACAATAACGAATGTGAAAGCCTTCTCCAGAGATCTCGTTGATACAGTTACCACCTACTACGACACATGTGTGTGTTGGGGAACAAGCCGTAAGCCTAGCAGAGGTGGACAACACCTACCACCACCCAAGTGGGTCCTTGACCCCGTATTTGTTAAAGAACATGAACGAGTAAAGCAACTTGGAGATACATACAAACGAACCAAAGGACAAGGTGACTTACATGCATTTCTAGTTGCAAATAGAGAGGTGAGAGACATGAGCAACATTATACGTAATAAACATTGGGAAGAGTTCCTACAAAGTATAAATGAGAAACCAAACTTCAACACTTGTTGAAGTTTGGGGAAAGATACGAAAAATCTCAAGAAGCAGCCCAACCAAACCACTGCACCACAGCCCACTAGAACAAGCAAACATTCTCCTTGATCAATGGGCACTAACGTGTCGGACCTTAATGATGTAACTGAATGGGAATTAAATCATGCACTAAAGATGGGAAAATCAACTGCTCCTGGAGAGGATGGTATTACTTACAGTCTACTGAGATTAGTCTCACACGTATCATGTAATCCACTTTTAGTGTTGTACAGAATGAGTTTAAGTGAAGGAGTATTACCTGATGCTTGGACATAGAGTGTCATTGTTCCCATCCCCAAACCACACTCAGATAATTATAGACCCATATCTCTAACATCGTGTGTTTGTAAAGTGCTTGAACGCATTGTCCTTAACAGACTCATGTATCGTATACAGGGGCACCTGTCACCCCAGCTGTTTGGATTTATGCCTGGGCTCAGTACACAACACTGTTTTGCTGAATACTTCGCTCATATTGAAGCTTCCCCTTAAGCAGTCTTCATCGACCTAGCAGCAGCTTTTGATAAGGCAAACAGGGAAATCATACTGGAACAGCTTGCCGAGCTGGGAATACAAGGAAAATTACTGAAATGGATAAAGGGCTATTTGTCTAATTCAACAGCATATGTTTTGTTTAATGGTGTTAAAAGCACAAAGAGCAAACACTTTGAACTGGGAACTTCTCAAAAAGGGGTCCTCAGCCCCTTGTTGTTCAACGTTCTGATGTATAAACTTATTAAAGATCTTCCAACTAATAATGAAGACACTGTCATTTGTTATGCTGATGATATATGTTTACAGGCTGCCTCCGAGCCTAGAATGCAAGTTCTGCTCGATGCTTTTGCTACTAGAGCTGAGGAATGTGGCCTCCTTATCTCTGTACAGAAAACTCGTGCCCTCATTCCATGTGGTATTCCACCACCCAATTATCATATAGATGGGCGAGCACTTGAGAACTGCGAGTCTTACAGATACCTTGGTGTCCCCATTAACGACCCTGGGTACTTTTCTTCTCTCAAGAGGAGACTTTGGGAGAGATTAAAGCCCTTGCGGGTCCTTGTTAGTGTCAATCATGGAATTAACGTAAGACTTGCTAGAATATTTTATGTATCATTTATACGCTCTGTGATTGACTACAATGCTCTACATCTCACACTGTATACTGACAAAGAGCTGAAATTTCTTGAAACCTTGCAAAAATGAAGCTATGCGTCTCATCCTTGGGGCTCCAAAGTCCACGAGAATAGTTAACATGAGAGCAGAGTTAAAATTACCTACCATAAGTGAGAGAATTTTGTCTATTAGCACAGTTTTCGGCGTGAAGGCATTGAGTAGATCTAGACAACACATGAAGTTTCAAGTTAAACTTTCTAATATGCTGCACTCGCCTGAGGTCTATAGAAGAAGAACGAAATCTGATTATGTATTTTGGTTCTACAAGGTAGCCAACTCCATCAAAATATTAAATATGTACCCAACTCAATTAATGATTAATCAACCAATTACTCAATGGAATAACTGGGATCTATCAGTTGATTTTGTAAATGCGCCCAAGAAAGATATTGTGCACTCGACATTATTAATATTCGAATGAATGTTTTAGCTGCTAAAGAAAACAGATTTGAAATTAAATTCCTATGGATACCATCACATGTTGGCATCTCAAGGCATGACACTGTTGATATGCTTGCTAAGACAGCCTGTAGAAAACCAGTGGTAGAAACTGATATGGGTGTTTCATTAGCAGTGACAAAGAGAATACTTAAACATATATCTAATGAAGATCTCACAGACCTAACAAATTCACAAAGATCTGAAAGTTGTAGCATTAAATATTATGATAGATATCGTGAGGAGACATTCACATATGGGACTAATAGCACAAGAACCCGGCAATGTGATGTTATTTATAGTGGCCAGAATACGCCTGGGATATAGACGTATCTGGCAGCTTTCTCAAAACCCAAATGTCTAGTACACAATGTGTCAACTTTGTGAAAGAGAAATCATGCACTCTCTTGAACATTATATTGTAGAATGTCCCATATTGACTGACTTTCGCCCTCCTGGGCTGAGGTATGCTGAACTGTGTAATTACTATATGAGTACTAGAACACTTGATGATATATTGAACTTGTACCCAAGACTGACCATGTAATGTATCAATTATACAATGTATGTATGTGATGTAACTATATAACCTGAACTTGTAAAGGCATCTTAATAGCCTTCTGTGATTAAGTGCTTAATTGCACACTAGTTTCTTTATCAGCTATCTCACCCTGTCAGCGTAAAAGAGACAAATGTATGTGAATGCATGTGTGTGTATGTATATGTACGTATATGTGTGTGTGTATGCATATGTATGTGTATAAAGTATATATGGAAGCTGATCAGAATTACATTTCACCTTTGTAAATGCACATTAATGACACTATGTAAAAGACACATCGAACACTTTATGTAGGGCATACGTAAATCTGTGTATCTATGTATTTACGTATGTAGGTTAGCTTAGCATTTTAAAAGCACTGAATCACCTTCTGTGGTTGAGTGTTTAATAAACCCCTGAACAATCAACCCCTGTTAAACCCCTGTTTAACACATCTCTAACCCTGTCCATGGTGGACAGAAGA